CTGATCCATGCGTTCATAGCTCCAACACTATTTCCACCCATTGCAGATTCACGTTCGGCCCTTTTTCTTCCTGCTGCACTTTCAGAAATGCAACACTGCAGTTAGTTACCTAATTTAATACCAGCGACCTAGCTATTTAATGCATGGTTTTACTGCAAGTGGCAGAACATGATCTGAATTAATGCACATAGCTCCTCGTATATCCCTCAGACGATAGAGATTGATGCCATTTAATATGCATTGCCCCTCAGTTAGCTCAAACACATGTGAAACGGAGCCTGCAGACCAAGCTCGGGGCGAAAAAACTGGCGCCTGCAGTCAAGTGCGTAGGGCAAAAACCAGCCGCCTGCAGCCCAGAACTCCGGGATTAATCTGTCCGCGGTCGGCACACACACTGTACTCACATGCCAGGAGACTTGGGAAAAGCAACGGGACAACGCGGCACCGCCAATCGAGGCAGGGACACGCACGGCACCGCCAGACCTCTGCGTGCGGCAGCAGACCACAAGGAACGAGCCGCACATAAACCCGCGGAGGGCCCCGCGGAGCAGCCCGCAGAAAGAGCCCGCAGAGGAGGAAAGCAGTGGGGATATGCGAACCACAGCAGTGCAGGGACGTGGAAGAGGAGCAGACCAGTGCAGGGACGCGGAGGAGGAGCAGACCAGTGCAGGGACGCGGAGGAGGAGCAGACCACAAGCAGCCAGACGGAGGACGCCAGGGACGCGCCGAGTAGCGTGAGTAGACGAAAACGATTCCTCCAGACGATTCTCTGCAAGGCTTCAGGAGCTTGCGAGGCTTCGAGAAGGCAGAGAGTGGGAGTTGCTCCGCTTTTAAGCGGCTGCCTGTCCGGCACGGATGATTGGAAGGGGGCGTTTGCCGAGCGATAGGCTGGGGAAGCGAACCGGCCTGGAGGGGGTAGCTTTTGGCTGACGTCTACCAAATTGAATTTTCGCGAGCTACATCTCAACTTTAAAACCACAAATACACAATGTCATTAAACTCTTGAAAGTGTTAAAACTGTTTGATATCAGAAAAAAGTTAAAAAGAGAGGACCACCCTCACTCAACCAATCAGCAATCCGTATGTAAAAGAAGAAATGACAGAATGTTGTGATCTGATTTGTTCAGAAAATGATACTTGAACAAGACTCTCTAAGACAAACAAATGTGTTTATGAAATAAAAAAGTTATGTACTCCAGCTTTAAGTAATGATGTGTAGCTTTATATTCCCTGCCTCCTCATACACAGACAAACCATGCCTTTTATATGGACCATTAAAGACATTTGGCCAAAGAAATTGGATTTTTCAGCCGCATACACTGCTCCAGGGCTATCTGATGTTAGTCACAGCAGTATCAAACGTTGAATTGTTTGTTGTTTACATCATAGAGACCACCGCAAAGCAACCCCACCCAAGTCAATAATAAAGCAGCAGAGAGACAGCACTTTACGAGCCGACAGTAACTCTACCTCACACAAAATGACAAACTCAACCTGACACTGGGCTCCTGTTCAGCCCCAATGGGATCCCTTGAACTATACGCATTGTGTTTTTGGATACGGTGCTGTCTTTCTATGAAACATTAACTCATTACTACATGTCTAAAACGTTACTGATTTAATCTAAGTGAACCAAACTATATACAAACTCCTAACTAATACAACATGCTGCATGGCTCCAAAACAACAAGAACTATCTCCTGAAAAATTACAATAACACATGATCTTGAAAGAAAAGTGCACATTGGCAGCGGCACCACTAAAACTATATGTCAGGAGATATATCGTCTAACTTCTTCACATAGTTATGCCACGTTTTAGAAGTAATTTTCTCAGGAAAACACCCACATCATTTATTTTACTCACAAACAACAATCTCATATTGGCAGGTGCATTATGGCAGTGGCACCACTAAAATTGCTTTTACTAAATGTATCTTTATCAAGGGATATGTTTTCATTATTAGGTAGCCCAGATATTCCAGATGCTCATCAAGGACAGAGCCTTGATGAGCCTTTTTTCTGGAGACAGTTTATCGTCAATGGCAGCATGAGTGTCGATGCTGAGGGGAGTGTATTTTTTGGACCAGTCTAGTTTAGTCGTTGAAGGCACTCGTCAAATGAATGGGGCACGTGCTGGCTGACGCATGCGCAAATTAGTTTTTTCAGCGTTTTTCCAGCCCCCGCGCCTTATTGAAACTGCCCATAGACGGCGAAAGTGGTAGCACATTAGTTTCAATGGCGGACATATAGAATATTTACAGTCTATGAGCAGCACGAGTTTTGATTGACAAAATATTACATTAATGAAACACCTCCATCTGGGGGCAGGAGTGCGTCACTCATCTGAGAATCCATGTATTCTACAGTTTCGTCTTAAGATATTACTTCACATTCTAAAACAAAAAAGCATGAAAAAAGCATGAAAGGAAATACTGTTAAGTTATATTCATAAATAATGCATAATATATATCTGTTAAGTTACAGATTCAAGCTGTTTGTTCTTGGACAATATTTACATTGAAGCCGGAGCTGACTCACTGGATTTCTTCCCTGGTGTTTGGAGCATGACCTGTCCCCTCTGCACATGAACAAGAGCCCCGCTGTCCACCTCTTACATAACCAAGGGTGTTCTGCTCTGGGCCATGTGCCTCGGGCTATTGGTGAGGACTGCATGTGTGGGCTTTTAACAAAATGCCTTTAACTTATCTTCAATCAAAACATCGCCCTATTATAATATTTATTGGGCTTGAGGATATTGTGCATGTATGAAGTTTAAGCACCTGTTGCAACCCTGAATCAAGCAGAGATTTAAAGATATAATTGGGGATTAAGAATGAAAAAGGCAATGCTTTTTGGAATACAATAATTCCTATATTGACTAAGCCTTCATTAATTGATTCATGGTACAATATAAAATGAGGGTATGTACCTTAACTTGGGAAGAGGTTGGGAAGAAGTTTAACTGAGGACTTTTCACACAGGACATTTTCGAACGCAATCGCAAGATACACCCGATTGTGTTCGAAAATCGGACTAACAATTGGACAGACTAATGATTGGACGCTAGTAATAGGCAGCTGAGGTCGATCACAATTGTTTTTTTGCTTAATCAAAGGGGAGCAACAGTTTTAAATATATTTATTATGAAAAATACTCAAAGTAATGTAAGAGTGACTAGAGGACACATGTTTGGTGTTTTTGTTTTTTGTTTTTTACATATAAATGTTTTTTGCCCCAAGTGAACCAGATTTGGTCCAGTTAAAATGAACCAGAGCAACAAGTGGGAACATGCCCAAAGTCACTAATAAGAAAGGATTGCTTCATTCTTCTGTTTGTTTGTTTCAGATTAAGATTATTGCAATATCTCTTATGAAATATAATGCTCCACCAAAATGTGTTATTACAATACAACTACTGCACATTGTTGCTCTTTTCATTTTCTATGATTCATGAGTCAATTCTATGTTTACAAGCCTACATTTTCAGCAGGATTTTTACTAGTTACATGTGTTACAGCTGTGCAAAATGCTTACACTTGAGATAGGAGAGTCCCAAGCTTTAAGAAATACTCCCACACAAATGTTTTTGCAAGAAAAGTCTTGATAAGAAATATGTACAACAAAGCAGATTATACCACAAAACAAAAGGATTGTCCAAACAAACAAAAAGTGGTTATTTTCTTATCTATGTATTCTAAACTTGTATGCTGTTTCTAAGACTTATTGCTTGTTTATTACCTGTCTGTCAAAAAATGGTGTGAGGATTTGGACAACATTCTCAGGAAACTACATGTCCAGTGAACAACGGATTCAGATTCACCGTCAGGATGCAGGATTTTTAATAAAGAATGGAACTGTGGTGGAGGTCTGCAGTCTATGCTGCAGTCTATGCTCTTCCTCCTCTGGTTAATTATGAAAAGGTCAGAGTATAGAGTCAGTAATAAACAAATGCTTTGACTCTTATTTAACCCTGAAATGTCAGGTAATGTCTTTCATGATTCATGAGTAAGTCCATTGTAATTCCATTTATGCTTTAGAGTTTAAAGTCACCAAAGTGGTATGTAATTGTTAAGATGAGTGAGGGAATGACAATTACAAGCAGACAGAGGGCTATGATAAGGGCGCACTGATAGAAAATTCATTTATAAACTCAAGATTAAAGGTTGGACAGTAGGCTGAAATGCAAACCGTTTACTTTCATATATAGCACATACATTGTGTCTGTTCCAACATAAAGACGCCTGTAAATGTGAACATCTTAGATCACAGCACACTGTCTTTGTCTTTGGCCTGACGCTGAATGACGGTGGTCCTCTCCTTTTCCTTTTCACTTTTCTGAAGTTGTGACAGATGCCAACTAATATATGCATCCCAAAACTATAGATTAGAAACAGGAAACAAACTGTTTTTAGAGCGGGGATCTAGACATTTTATGGATACGATGGAGTTTTACATATCTAGATAAGAGGATTTGATTGAAAAGCTATTTTTTGTGGTTTGAAAGTTTGAAGTTTTGACTCATTACTAGTTGGATTCATAGAAAACTTTACCTCCAGCATTGGGCATCTCATAAAATAGCCTAGTTGAAAGTAAAGTACTTACTTTGAATACAAAAACAATCCATTCTGTATTGATCACTTTGTACTCCTAGAAAGCAATGATTTTTTTTAAGCAAAGTCAATGAAGAGATTGGGGACGACAGTGCAGATATGTTGTTGATATGAGGTCATAAAATGCAACTGTTATGACCTCATACATGTTATATGTGGGAGCTATTTCATACAGGGCAAATTAATACATGATCATACAAGGTTATTTGATTACTGAAGTCATCATGCAGCTATAGCTCATCTCCAAATGATGTGAATGAAAAACAGGCACTGCGTCTTTATCCGGGCCGGTGGGAGGACACTGCTATATGCCAGGTCTGGGTTGTGTGATATATAGATAACCAAGACATGTAAATGGTGAATTATAACGTGTAGACTGCTGTACTCACCAGTGCGCGCCAACACGCCGCTGCCATGCTTCTCTCCGTCACCTCCAGCCCCGTACAGAGGTGCACTCAGAACCTGCACATCCCGATCCGACGTGGGCTCTTCCCCCACGGCTGTTCTTCTCCGTTGAGTGTGGGTGGTGGTAGGGCTGGCTTCACCTGTACATCTTGGCTCATTCCCATCGCGCTGCAGCGGGCTCGCCTCGCCCTGTGTCCGTCTGTGCGCGCTCCTCTACGTACAGCCGCATCCTACTCTGGCGTCCGGAGGCGGGACTTGCAGCAGCAGCTTGGCCAATCAGCGCCCAGGATTAGCCATGCATGTAAAAAGCCTTCTCACTTTAGAGTCAGTCAAAACAACAGCTGCTCTGATAAATAAAACGAGCTGTTATTGTGAGATATAGTACTACAAAAAAGCATAGGAGCACATTGTGGATGGAAGGGTAAGGAGTCATTTTCGCTCTATTTTTGAAGTACATTATAATCATAGCAGTGCATTGGCGTATTGATCTGATTGTGTTTCAAAAGCAGACAATATTGTGTTTCAAATATATAGTTAGGAGTTTTAGTGAATGGTCCAAATGATGAGGGAGACTCAGCAGTGAGTCAGACAAGAGAGGGGGCCGTGATGGGGACAGGGGGGGGGGGGGGATTTACAGTATACCGATAATGTAACCACTGGGACGGGCTAATTTCGTTACAATTTAAAACAGGTGGGCAATATTCTGATGTGCTGCGGATGTTTCTGGAAAGGCCCACTGCATTCACATTATGAACAACAGCTGCCTGATGCCCAAGAATAAAAAGTGCTGAGCCATAGTTCTGGGCTTCTGAATAATTCAACAGAAGTGCAGCACCTTGTTCATCGTGGGAATTCACATAAGCAACACTAGAGCAAAAACTGAAGTTCATGTGTTTTCATTTATAATATTCTACATATTCAGCTGTCTGTTCACAAACTGTAGCCTTTACTTCTTCAGAATGTTGACATTGTCAAGCCCCTCTCTTCATGAATTCTATTGCTAGATTTACTCTATATGTTTATGGTCTATGTGTCAGTAAACCATGGGAGTGGTCCTATAGTCCTCCCCATCTGTCGCTTCTTACAGTCTATGGTCACTTCACATGCTGACCAGTGGCTGCAGTAAACAGATCTTCAAGCGGGCACACATTTAGCCTCAGACCATTCCACAAATAGGAACGTGATAAGAAAGCAGAAGTCCCAGGCCCTGCACGTGAGCAGGGCGTCCAATCCAACAGCCGAGCGGGTGTGAGATCATCATATGTTTGTTTATGCTACAGGGAAAGCCCTTCTAAGTGGGTCAGTGGGATGCATGATGACGGGTGGGGATCAAGGGATGTACTCAAATTTGATCTTTTCTACAAATGTTCTGTTGTCATAATTTTTAACTGCACTGAAAGGAAATACTCCCCAAATACTGAAAAAAGTATGCAGTAATTTAAAAGTAACGTCAATAGCTATAACAACAGCTGTAATTATACTGAGAGTAGATTATACACTGTTTGGCTCTGTTTATTATCACTATTTCACTTTTTAGCCAAGTCCTCTATCATCGTCCTTGCCCCAAGACAACTCCGATCACTGGACCACAGACCTAAGGCACTGATGTCGGTAGTCATGAAGTCATTTGAGTGCCTGGTCCTCTCCCATCTCAAGTCCTTTACCTTCGTCTTCCTGGACCCCTACAGTTCGCTTACAAAATCAACAGATCTGTAGACGTCGCCATAAACCTGACCCTCCACTTCATCCTGCAGCAACTGGACTCCAGAGAAACCTGCTGAGTTAAACTCTCCCAGCTCAATTTGCACAACTCCAACCTGCAGGTGAATCACTGACTTACTTACTGGCAGGAAGCAGCGCATGCGTCCGGTGAAGAATGTTTTGGATTCTTGAAATACAAATACATGTGCTCCACAGGGCTGTGTTCTTTCTCTCCTGCTCTTCTCACTGTACACCAACCACTGCACCTCTAGCGACGACTCTGTAAAGCTGATCAAGTTTGCAGTCGACACCACCCTCAATCCGGATGTGTTCATGAGCTTACATTGCTGCACCCTGTTCATTGCCTGAGCTTGAGAAGGGGTGGTCGTATAACTGGTGACCCCTCTCACCCTGCACATGGACTATTCAGGAGGAGCAGGAGGCTACAGTCCATCCGAACCAGAACATAACCAGCCATAAGAACAGTTTCTTCCCCTCTGCAGTTGGAACACTTCATAACTCACCACTGTCCTCTGCCCTTTAGGACCGTCACTGTCACTTCTGCCGCTTTACTGCATTGCACCTACTGCACTTGTTTAAAGTATAAAATGTTATGTACGTAGATGTATATTTTATGCCTTATTCTATTTTTACTTTTTTAAATAGTTTGCACCAAGAGCAAAAGCAATTTCCTAGTCTGTGAGTTCTTGTTACTCTCAATATATTTTAACAGGTTTCTTTCCACCAGAAAAATGCCCAATTAGAAAATAATAATAAACATTATAATGCACATTTTTCCACACACAATAGACATAGTTCCAAACATGAATGCACTAATAATTGCTATATTCAAACTAGCCTCTAATATTAGGTTCCTTCCCAATCAGTGTTACTCTCTGCCCAGAGGCCCATTTGAGCATAATCAACCTCAGACGCAGGACACATTTGCACAGGCCAGACACAATGGCATAATCGATCAATTAATCAATCAATAGAAATTTATTTTTCCCCAAGAGGATGATTATGAGGCATTTGGAGAACACAACTTACTAGTTTGTGGATAATTATCTTCTAATGAGTTGTTGTTGGCCGTTTTATCTAATCAATGTCTGTTCAAGACCCACTTACTAATGACATGCTGCATGTTGAAAACCCATTTGAACAAGGTTTTCGTCAAGTCGCATTAAAAATTATGTCAAGTTTTAGCACGGAATTAGACTAAAAGGGTGGAGTTCAGGGGCGACAGTGGCTCAGTTGGTAGAGCATTAGCCTTTGGGCCTGAAGGTCATGGGTTTGAGCCACCGTAAGACCTACTTTACGACTCCCACAGATGACTGCTGTCATTGTGTCCTTGGGCAAGACAATTAACCCCACTTTGCCTGAAGCCCCTGCTGAAAAATCTCAGCTCCTGTGGACTCACCACCTGCAGGAGGATCAGTGAGGGGCTGGTGCTCTGTGTACTGGGTGCAGCTCTGACTGCCCCCCCCACCCAGATATGGATTAAGGGGAAGAAAATGGATGGGTGGAGTTCGGCTAAATTTCAGTACTTTTGATAAACTAAAATAGTCGGCAGGGAACATATTAGTGAGGCATATAAAAAAAACAACGTTAGTTTTAGCAATGCAATTCAAGTTTTTTGATTAAGTCCATAAATAGATTTTAAAAAATCTATTCTTATGAGGCGGAATATATAGAGAGATGGAATAACAATAATAATGTCAGATGATTTGTGCTATGTGATTTATGTGTAGGACTGGTTAAATGCGTTTACATCACAATATTATTTGAGAAAACATTGTGAAGCTCTTTGAATTGAAGAGCTCTGACCCTGGTCTGTATGAAGTGCAAAGACTTCTTACTTACATTTATATATACATAATTTTAATGAACAATGTTGATCAAATCAAACTGTTAAGACTCTTTATTGCGACTGACATTACTTCAGTAAGCCTTATATTAGGATACAGCAAGCCTGTGATGCCCATTTACCAGTAATTATTCAACATAATGTGTATACATTGTACAATAATGGATGCACATTCTGGTTTAGTCCAGATCTAAATTGTGATTGCACACAGCCTACATTTGAGTGTGGGGTCCTCGTCACATGGTTTTGATCAATGTTTAAGTGATGTGAGGTGAGTTTGAAGTTTCAAGAATCCAAGCCACACAAGTTCATATACAAACCATTAAACTTTCAGACTGCCTCCAACCATTTGCACAACCACAAAAAACAGAGCTTCCATCACAGCAGCTCTTTAAGGCAGTGATCACAGACTGGGATAAGCACGTTCTGTTGGTGGTCTTACTTTGATTTTAACAATCAAATATAATGAGATGTCGACATCTACAAAAATATAGCCTTAATGGGAGTGTTGCAATATGGACTCTTCTCAAGTGTTGAATAGCTTATACTGTAGCTGACATAAATATAATGTTTTAACCCTTAAATAGGGATTTCAAATTTCAGTGGATTAAAACAAATTGTATTTATATTGTATTTCAACTTTGAAGTAGCCTATCATGACGTCAACGATACAATTCCACATTTCTGTTTCTGTGGAGGGAGATCAACGTCACTGGGACAGAAGTCATGTATTAGTCTGCCCTCTGCTGGAGAAATCTGACAATTACATGTAACAGTCTGGGGAGTCCATGGATAAGATGATACGCACATAGATGTTTTTCCGTTTCTTCTGAATTCACACGTGAGATAATAAAAAATCTCCTATGCTATGTTTTAGATTCTTATCATAATTTTTAAATCAATCAGTCAATCAATCTGATGACTTATAAACATTTAATTAAAACGAAATGTTGGCGTAGATGGTTGAAAATATTGTTTTTAGAATGGATGACTTAATCATGTGTTACTTCTTGTCATAAATCATATTTAGTCTTGTGGTTTTCAGACAAAGACTGGACTTTGGTCTAAAGTACACTATTTACCCCACAAGGGGGCGGTATTTCATGCATACCCAACCAATACATGGTAGGGTTAGTCTATGAGGTTAGGGTTACACCACTTGCTGCAACCTATTGCTAACTGCTATTGCATGTACTGTATTTGTAAAGAAACATTTACAGTCAGAAGCTGTTAATTGAGCTCATCAATAATTATAATATATACGTTTGATATAGTGCTTTTGAAAGACACTTTACAATATTTTATTCATAAACTTCATACAGTGCATTGTAATATGAAATGGCAATACAATTACAGATATCCTGACCATGGTTATATAATAAAACATTTTAGCAGCATTCTAAGAGCTCATTTTGCTCAGATGAAAAGAATAATTCACCATAATGATCATGCAGCCTCAATGTTCTTCACATCCTTACACCTTACATAAACAAGGTTAGAAACAAGGAAACTAACATGTCAAATCCGTGTTTCAAAGACTGACAACTGCAAGGCTACTGTACTAATCTCACACACTAGAAAAATGAACAGCACAGTGCATACACAGGGACAGTCAAAGTTTACTTTACAAAACAACAAAGGAAGTATTAACATAAAACTACCATACAGGCACCATAATAATTAATACTTTAGTTTATTCATTTTATTTCTTTATATCAATTTTGACATAAAAAATTTCTATCTTTCAATGGGAAAGCCTGATTCTAATATACCTCAGGAGCTAAACAGGGTGAATGCGGGTTAGTGCTGTGATGGTAGACCTTAGGGGCACTAGTTTTCACTGTGGGATGGCTGTGAAGTATGGAATTGTTGTTGTGTCCTGATGAATGAAGGTCTGCTAATTAATAATTTGGCGCTTTGATATATATTATTTATATTTGTATATCGAAATATAATAATGGATGATATTAGAGCGGTTGTTTTCACCTAAAGACAAAGCTACCATCAAGACGCGTTAAAACATTCAAAGAACAGGAAGATAACTGTTTGTTATAGTGTACTGAACCCATTATTACCCCTACATTCTGAACTGATTTGCAGTTTTTAGGGAGAGAGACCAGAGGTGACCGATGACACGGCTACATCCACTCACTGATCTGTTGGGATCGGTGAAAACACCCACATACCAATCAGACTCCAACCATGCTCTGAGTTACTTCAAATAAGACCACACTGTGTTTGTGCCATTTATAGATTCTAATAACCATATAACTCTCAAAACAAAAGATTGATGTGTTCAATGTTACCCCCTAGCCAATCATCTACAGTTTCTACACTATATCGACACTAGCTCTCCTGAAAATCCCCTCACACAAATGTTCACATGACATCACAGCCTTGACTGCTGTAAATGTGTCATACGTGCGTGTTGGGCTCCCTCCCTCAGCTGTTATGCCTTAATTCTCCCCTTCTCTGTATCCCATTTCTATCCCTCCTCTTGCATTACAACATTTTTGCAACGCCCAAACTGAACTGGTGGAATAACAATCACGGGGCGAATTTACTCACAAATTGCAAGTTAAAATTCCCCATAATTTCAAACTACTTTTGAACATGAATTATGAACATTCTTTTCAAAAATCAGATAAACTTCCAAAAGCATCTGCCCTCCAACTTAAAGACATCATCAAATTGTGAACTTGGTCTACCATTCTACACATCCACACGTTATCTCTCATCTCCTGGTTTGTCAGTTCAGTTTTGGGCCAAATTACGAGCAGGAAGCTTCAGCTCTGATGGTTTCCAGTGCACAGAGATTTGATGCAAAGAGGAAATTGTCCGTTTTCTCCACAACAATGAGGCGTGCTGTGAGTGCGGTTGCATTTGCATAGGTTTTGTGTTTGTGTGGAGTGACAGGCAGTTGAAATGGGTTCAATAGACTCCTGTGGGATCATGGAGTGCACTGAAATACTTCCCTTTGGCTTTGAAACAGGAAGATATACAGATTTGCAGCAGCCTTTATGCATTATCAGATGTCTAAAAGCTAACCTGGAACTCAAACAATACTTTATAGGCTGTATTATATATTTACATTTTTCATAGACCTTTATGCAGGTCCACACTGCCATGTTTCTACTTTTATTAACACATTATATGAATATCCATGGCACAGGTAGTGCTTTTCAGGCTTGTAGTACAATCCCTTCACAAAAATTTAGTTACATGTAATAGAATGAATGTAAAGATAAAGGAGAGCAGCCATGTGGACTCACCACTTGCAGGAGGATCAGTGAGGGGCTGCTGCTCTGTGAATTGGCTGCAGCTCTAACAGGGTCCCTGGCGCTGTACTACAGTGACCACTGCTCCTAATAGAGGCCATGGGGCAGCCATGACGGATGGGACAAATGCAGAGGACAAATTTCACTATGGGGCAGTAAAGTATAACTACCTGACTTAACCTAAAGGAGTTATAATTCTATGCTTATAGCTCTACACATTTTTAGACATAACATTTTCAAAATATAAAATGTACACCTCTTCTTTATTTTCAAATGGCTTTTTACTCTTTTTTAAACAGTAGACTATTTGTTCTGGCCCTGATAAGGCCCTGTATTAAAAATGTCCTTGTGTCCCAAGCCGCATGAAGGTCAGTCACTTTTCTTCATTCATCAATTTTAGTCTGAGCTCAAACAACAGTACAGCCAAATGTTTGCACCGTGTTTTTAAAGTTGTAACTGTTTGGCTGCTGTTGGCATGTGTCATTGGTCAAAACACCTTTTGTATTGGCCTAAAATAGACTTTGAGCAGGCCAATTACAGACAATGGTAGCAGACACATAAGCTTAATTGATAGTGAGAATTCCAAAGCAAACTATACTGTTCATTTATTCTGTTTACCAGCAAAGACTGATGGAGTAAATTCAAGTTTATATTGAAACAAGCATTCACTAGCCCCACAAGAGAAAGCCTTGTATTGATTAGTCTGGTTAAAAGCTGAATGCAGAGGTAGATGTTTCAGGGCATAATCAATAGTTTATGTAGGCTAGGCCCGTTATGGCAGCATGCATAAATAAGTCCAGCTAGCCTATATCAGCATCATTTGATCTACTTAAACTTTAATTTGTCCAATCAAGTTTTTCAAAGCTGTGCAATTCATCAATATTAGAAAGGCTATTTATGTTCTTCTATTGGATTGGCCTATTCCACCACTAAAACCTGGAGAGATGTCCGTTTAGAAGTGCCTCTTGACTTCTTCATTTAATAGATAAAGCATTAAGTTTGTCCCGACAACAAGACACAAACAAAATGTCATGATTGCATTTCCTGTGTTTGAACTGTGTGATTTGAGTCTGGAAAAAACGTGTAATCTTTTGTATACTTTTTGCATGCTAACGATTAATTAACAACATATTTGATTGCAATTTCTGTGCAGATAATATTATGCACAGATATAGTTCCAGCACTTGTTTATGCTTGATGCCAACACTGATTTAAAGACTGATTTTGCCAAGGGGTGGAAGTTTTGAAATCTCTTTTGTAACGAATCCAAAGTCTGAATATGTGTTTGTCTATACTTCCAAGTGAAAAATTAGATTCTGAACAACATGTAACATGTATATATTGGTAGAGCAGAAGTGGGCTGGACGACACTGTGAACTGTGAAATTGACACTGAGGGCCATATTTGGACATACCTAAACTAGTTGGATGACTTTCATAACAGATAAGCCTATATTGTTTTTTTTTTTGTTCAAAGATTAAAAAAGAGATAATTCATTTGTTCCACAGTGGGGTTATTTCAGTGTTGCATCACAAGTTACAGAACAGTTGGAATAAGGAGCACACAACACAAGATTAATTACATAATAATTAAAATAAAATAAAATCTGCAACTCTATTAATAAAGAAAGAAGTATCTTACTATCTTTTTTCGTCTTTCTGTGAGGCTAAAAGTTAAATACCCCAGCTTTAACATTTCCTAAAATAATCATATATTTTGACTAAGTGATACTGTGTGTGGCCCCCATCCCTCAGCTGAGTATGTCCCCTTTGACGCTGTCCAAGCAGAGGAAAGAAAGGTGGAGACTCGGCAACTTCCTGCATTTCAGGCACACCGTCAAGACGACTGGCTACCACTGCAGGGAACGGGGGCGGATGGATGTACTTTTGACTTTTATATTAGTCTTACGAACGCTGCACAGACAGTGATCATATAGATGTTTTAATTAGCCGTTAGTGTGTTAGCCGTGGCGCTGCTACTCCTCCCTCCCGATAAAAGTGATAAATTGTTTCCCAAGTCGTGAGGAAAAAGACAGGAATGGGTGAGTTTTTTTTTTCCGTGATGTGGCGCTTGACTTTTAAAACAATTGTCAGCCAATAATCTTTTTTATATACCAGTGCACAATCCCCTCAAACCCATAGCGGACACGCCATAATGTTATGACTGTTAAAGGCAGTTATATTGAACACTTGTTAGCGTTAGCATGTTAGCTTAGCATGCTAGCTTCGGGATAACACGGCTTCTATCCATGGATTTGGCAGCTCCTATTGCTAATGTTTAAACAGGCGATTTGCTAGGTTATTGAGCAACTTGGAGCTGGTAAAGAAACGACCACTGTACGTATAAAGTATTCTATTGTACATGTAGTTTGTATGACATGGATTTCTAAACTTGGATCTTGTTTTGGATTCTTGGTCAGTCCTCTTTCGACTGCTGCTCACTTCTTGACAGGAAACTGCAAAACATTGGGGCAAGTTCTTGTAATATTTTTACTGTAGTTTCCTCTTCCTCTTTGATTTTCTTTTTCCACTGATAACAATTTGATGTTATTTTGGCTCGTACATTCTTTCCACATCGCTTTTCTCACACCCACAGCTTACTGTAAAGATACTGTAAAGATACTGTAAAGATACTGTAAAGATACTGTAAAGATACTGTAAAGATACTGTAAAGATACTGTCAGCAACCAAATCAGCTGTCGCGGACTTAAATCTTTTACATTTGGATTGTAAATCAAGGCTTGAGGTAGTAGTAGTAGTTTCTAAAAGCAGAAAGTTCCCAGACAGTAGAGGAAATGTTGATATCTGTAACTTCTTGTGCATGTGAAACCACTATAATCACACGGTGTGACGTGATGCAGTCGGTGGCTGAACTGCTGCAGTGGTGCTATGTTGTGAAACTGGTTTGAAGTATTTCTTTTGACTTTTTATGCTGTGTCAAGTTGAAGATGGTGGAGGGTTAGGATGGTTCCCACAGTTTACGAAGAACTCTAAAAACAAACCTGGGTCCCCTCACAGAGCCATAATTTGTTTGCTGAATATTCATGTTAATTGTATTTATATCAGAAATTAAAAGTTAAACTGAAACCCTGAAAGGAATAAAAGTTATAGAATCAACAACACAAAAAAAGTACAATTTTCGTGAGAACATCTTTAGAGAAATGTTTGTGGGAAGCCAGGTTACTTTAGAAAGAGCACTGAATTCAGGAGCCCATGTAGTTTCTTTTACTTTGGGGCTTATAAAATGTATATTGTTGGATATCGTTTCTTTTGATTTCTAACTCATCTTTACACAGAACAACCTTGGTTTCTTGGTGTGAGTAAGGTTGTTAGTGAAGATACCAGAAGTTCATTTACCTGCCAACGCTGATCATTGTCATTATTGGTAGTTGGTTATTAAAAGTGATCGGTTACACAGTCATGTAACTCGAGTTGAAGCAGATAAACTGAACGCTATCCATTTTCAACGCTTCACTTCTCAATCTTTAGAAACTAAACTGCTTCAGCTGCCAAATAAAACTAGTTAGACCAGCAAAACCTTTTTTGGTGAATGGCAACAAGTTTGGCTTAAATCTTTTTTTCTGATGTTTTTGGTAATTTTCCCCATTCTTCATTCCCTTTTAAAACATCCTGTTACTTGTCCTAACTTTACTCAAACAATTTGAGCTGAAAACCGCATTGAAGTCATGATGTTCCAATCTAGTGTTATCGTTCATGTTATAACTGATTGCTGGCCATAATCTGATTTCTTAAATGTAGCGCTGCTGTGGGGAAGTGTGTTGTGCAGATCCATGTTTGAACACGTTTGCGCTCACTGAGACCCTCACTTTCTGTTTGCTTTGACTACATTCACATCTGTGGTCTGGAATTTACCTACAACCTACAACTGCCTCGTACCAGAATACTGTGAACTAGTTTTAATGGACTTGACAGGGCGAGAACTGGCTGGTAATGCAAGGCAATGGAATATAAATGGCTCCTTATTGCTTGCGATATCTGCATTCTCTATGTCTTACCATTGAGGGAAACGTATTGGTCCAATTTGATATTTCCTGCTAGTGACAGTACAATTTTCTTGTTAGTAAAAGATAACACGCAGACGTTCTGAAGCAATATTTGCCGATAGTAAATGGGTTTGTTCACACTAAAGGGTACAAAAGTGTGACAGAAGGCCAAACCATTTTATTTTAATTTTCAGAAAATATATGTTTTTCATTTGAACCAAGTTTGATTTATTAGTTTGATTTTCTATAGTGGCTCTGTTTATTTGTGTAACAAACCTGATGCCTTTGACGGAATGAGCTACGCAGAAGTTTGTTACATATTTTCAGCTGTCCACATTTAATTCCACAAAAGATTATTTTTTTTACACCAGTTGAAACAAAGTGATTACTTTCATATAGTAAAGCAATTAATTATAAAAACAGGCAATATATTTTTTAAAAGTTTTTTTTCTCAAGTTTAGTTTTTAGAACAAAATTGACTGAAACCATCACATCCGTTACATATTTTTCAAGGGTAATTTAAGGTTCTGTTAGCCATGTTAATCTCGTGGGTCTGCGGCTTTGTCACTGCTGACCTTTTATTTTCTATGTAACTGGCGTCACAGTTGACATAAAATCAGAGGCTGATCTGGTCTTTTCAAATTTCGCCGGAAATGTATTTGTCAATCTTTTTATTTTTATTTTATCCACTTTCTTTGGTATGTCTGTTTTAAATCTTTTTTTTTTTTTTTTTTTTTTTTTCAATCTATGGTAGTAAATTTAGTTTTTGAGTTATAACCGTTTAAAGTCCAGATACTACTGACACTTTACTGTGAACACACCCATATATGATTTCTCTTTTTAAGATGTAACATGCAAAACTTTTTAAAAGTGTTTTACTGATTTTTTTTCTGGTTTTACATTTGTTCACAGCACTGTCCCACAGATTTATGATATTTCTCCTTGGTATTGTGGGTGTGTTCTGTGGACAGTTCCAAATATGAACATCATGATCCATTGTGGGCAAGACTGCAAGGTTGCCGGTATTTTGGATTAATTCAAAATGAAAAATTGCAAAAAGAAAATGTAAATATTATGTAAAATCAACTAAAAATAGTCTTGCATAATCATTATGCTGGAAGCCCTGGGTAATTCCAGGATCTGAACAGTTGATAATTTTCTTTTGCTTTGTATAATTTTATAAAATAATTTGTAAAATAATTTGTAAAATAACCATCAAAACAAGATGTGGATACATTTTGAAATAAGTTGACTGTAATTCTTCACTTTGTACCCCAGTGAAGGGCAGGAAGGAGTGAAGTCGATTTTATTATCTCGAGATTAAGTGTACATTAAACAAGTGAATGAGGAGGCTTTATCCCATTTGCCAAAAGAAGCAGAGTCAAGTTTAGTGTTGAAGTGTCTGAGGCTCAGCAGATCTCAGGTCAGTGGAATGCTGCGTCTCTGCACTTCCTCTCTCACATCCTTCCTCTTTCCTCCTCCTACTCTCTTTCCTCAATCACATCTCTAGTTTGTCCTCAGCCACATAAAACACATTCTTTTGGATTTATATATATATTTTATATATATATATATATATATATATTACGTCAATACAATACATTATTGCTGCAGATTTAATGCAATTCCATCAAAACCACTACTCACCCCTTTCCAGGTAGCTTGCTAAACGATTTGTAAATTAACAAATTAAACAATGCACCTAATATTTCAGATCGTATTATTCATTATCATAATTTGTTGTTGTAAATGCACTTACTTTGTAACTTGTAACAAATATGCAATGATAAATTAAAATGAGTTTTCCCAGGGCCACTTAGGAGCTATACCTTTTTTTTTCAAAGTCTTTTTTCAGATTGAATGTTTAGCACCGCCCCCCAACTCGCTCATAGGCTTCTCATTTCCCCTACGCCCTCATCCCACGGAGCCATCTAGTTTTATTTGCGATCTGATATGTATGCAAACATTTGCATTAGTGCAACTTCTTATAAGCCGTACAACAATCACTGATTAAATGGTACAAGAGCAACGCACTGCTAACAAAATATATTAAATGAAAGATTAGTTTTGTGTCCAAAAGTAGTCCGAGGCGGTCCCGCTCCCGCAGGTCTCTCCAGAGGATACGATGTAAGCTAGCTATGTTCACCCGGGCTTGGTTTCTTCTTTTTTTTCGCTTTAGTTCCCTCTTCTCTTCCTCACTGTTGTCGCCACTCCTCGTTCTGTGATTGGAGTCACGCTAAGTTTCTACTCGGCACTTTTTACGGCCTGAATTCATACACAAGCTGAATCAATGTAACCTGGCAAGAGCCAGATTGATGATTGTGTAGAACTCTAATGCGTTCTCCACAATATCAATCAGGGACTTCTGCAGGAGAATCCTTTCGGGGGAAGGAGGGATAAGCAGCAGAATACTTCAAGCTGATTGGGCGAAGTGACGCTGTGTGCCCGCCTACCAAGGTTTGACTTAAACCAATCCCGGTAACATTATGTCGTCATCTCTTGCCAAAACCCGTAGGTAAAAATGCACAAACATCTTTGCCGTCCAGAAATGCACAAAGCGCCTCTCGCTGTTCATCTTTCAAAAAAGAAATTGGAGATTCTGCTAAAACTGACTTGATAGCCTCAGCTACGCGTCCGTCCTCCTGCGTAGCCATGTTTGTTTTGCTTCGGTCCGGCACTTCTTGCTTTCGTCAAACCCGGATATCCCGCCCTAAACCCCCAGACTGTTGTGTGATTGGCTTGAACACCTAGATGTTCTACTTGAAAAGGGTTGGCGGGAGCGGGGCAAGATGTATTCTCGAGTGTTTGTGAACTCACAAATACCGCAAGAATTCAGCTTGCAGGCAAGGTTAGAATCAATGAGCTCAAGTTTTAAATTAAATCACAGATTTTAATACAACTTGTATGTCGTAATACGCATTTTTATGAACTTAGAAAGAAATCGGGTTCAGCTTCTTTAAAGGAGAAATGGTCACATTCTGATTGGTGGGTTATTTCTATTATAGTTTTTTCTAAAAGACCAAAGAAGTTCGATCCTG